CAGGAACGAGAATCATGCAATCACTCATTTTAAGTTTGTAATGTCATTGTCTGAACATGTTTCTCTGTTTTAACTGATATTATATTATGTGATTTTGTGTTGTTTTGTCTTCCTGCCTCAGGACGACTGATGAGAATTAGCAACTATGCTATAATCTGGCTCATTTACCATATGTATGAGATTGTTCATTAATGTGCACTGTCCTGATTAAATAAATAAATAAAATAACATAACATAACATAATTAAAAAAAACACAGGTCTACTCTGACTGGAGTATGGGGGTTCAGCTTATGTCACATGAACTCTATTCTAGGGACGTCTAGATCCAGCTTTTTGTTATTTCTGATCCGATCCCGGCCTATCAGAGCCTGTACTAAGTCCTGTGGGTTACAGATGCTAATGCTAATGTTCTGATAACAACTTAATGGTTAGGACACAGACCTGTGGTTACAGATGCTAATGCTAATGCTAATGCTGTGATAACAACTTAATGGTTAGGACACAGACCTGTGGTTACAGATGCTAATGCTAATGCTAATGCTCTGATAACAACTTAATGGTTAGGACACAGACCTGTGGTTACAGATGCTAATGCTAATGAGGGATCGGTCTTTAAAAAAAAAAACTGGATCTGGAGTCTGGATCTGAGCCGTTTGCTGTTGAGCAGCCTCTGTCTGCGGCCTGTAGGAACCTCGACTGGATATCCAACTCCTCCCACATCCAAGTCGGCCATTTTGGTTAGGTAATGTGACAAGCAGCTTTCTCAGATGGAAACAAAACTTTACTGTCTATACGAAATCAGAAGATAAACAATGTCCTAACTCTAACCCTGACCCTAACCCTAACCCTAAACCCCTAACCATGAACCTAACCCTGACCCTGACCCTGACCCTAACCCTAACCCTAACCCTTCATAATTGTGAGAAATAAATATTTTTTGGGTTAAACTTGTTTGGACTTATTGTACAAACCTATCTAATATACACTATTTTATTTAACATAATATTATGTATATAAACCTGACCCAAACCCTAACCCTGAATTAATAATTAATTCAGTGTTTGAAAGATTCATTTCACTATTTTTAAATTAATGTCTATATTCCCATGAAGCAATTACCATTTTCTTGTCTGGGATCTTCCTATTGGTGACCTAATCAAAATGGCCGACTTGGATGTGGGGGGTTGGATCTCCATCCTTGTTCCTGTTGGTTACTCACACTTCTCTCTCCTGGAATCCTCCCTGATGACGTCTCTAACGGCCATGAGCAGCTCCTTATCCTGGGAGGTCACCTGGAGGAGAGTCACGGCTTTAGAGACGGCTAACCCTAACCCTAACCCTAACCCTAACCCTAACCCCCGGCCTTACGTGGTACAGCTCGTCCTGGGACCGGACCCGTCTGTAGACCAGCCCCTCGTCCATCAGGATCTGCAGGACCTCCTGCAGCAGCAGGCGAAGCTGCTGCCCCCCCGACGGCCCGGCAACCGGCTCCTGGACACCAGGGGGGGGGGGGGTTAAGCTAGCGCTAAGCTAATGTCCAACTCTATATGATACTCAGGAAGATATTCAATACTCGATACCACAAGGATAAAAAAACAAAAACTCAAAAATGTAACTGAATTTTGACAGGTTAGTGTCTTTGGTTTCAAACTGACCTGTTACTGATGTTATGGAGGCCCACATTAATGACCCTAACCCTAACCCTGACCATAATCCTAACCCTAACCCTAACCCTCCACTATTTATGAGAAATAAATATATTTTTGGTTAAACTTATTTGGACTTATTGTACAAACCTATTTAACATCCACTATTTTAACATAATATTATGGATAGACTTTAATTCAGTGTTTGCAAGATTAATTTCACTATTTTTAAATTAAATAGGATTTTTTTGCCTGGAACCTTCCTATTGGTGACCTAATCAAAATGGCCGACTTGGATGTGGGTGGAGTTGGATTGATGTTTAATGTTGGCGTATTATTAGCCATTAGCTACAGCTAATGTCACGTTAATGGTCATAAACAATGGGGTTGGTATCGATACTTTTGAAAATGAGGATTGTATCCGGATATAGTATCGATACTTTACATAACCCTACTTTAAGCTTTAAGGCTTCACCCTGCTTCAGTCTGGTCTGGTTACCTGGTCTGGTTACCTGGTGTGGTTACTTAGTCTGGTTACCTGGTCTGGTTACCTGGTCTGGTTACCTGGTGTGGTTACTTAGTCTGGTTACCTGGTCTGGTTACCTGGTCTGGTTACCTGGT